CGAGGGAATAAAACACTATTCGCTAACAGCGAAATACACTTTTATCATCCTAAGATTAACCAGCACAGTTACCTCAGTGAGTTTAGTGTACTTATATGGCATTGAAATCTATCGTAACCGTTAAAGAGCACTTGAAACTTGGTTACAATCCAGAAAACAACGAGGAGACCTAGTTTCACGTTTTAGCTTGTGAAAACAGGAAATAGCTTTAGAATTGCAGAGGATTTGCTGATTCACTCTTGAGGAAACAAATCAACGTTGATGTTAACACTTTATTTTCAACGTGATATCACCAACCTGATAAGAAAGCTTGGGCCATCGTTGTGCAGATTATAATTTTGAAGTTGAAGTTATGATTATGATGGTTTAAAATCTGGTGTCAATCAGTCGCTCACTTTAGGTCGATGTGTTTCATGTCTATGAGACGATTTGCTAGCTGTCATCTCAAATGTGCATTGAAAATGCGGCGCTGACAGTAATGTATTAACAATGGTGCTGTTCGGTGCTTTCAAGCATAAATAAATGTCTCATCTACAGCTTCGGCAAGTGGCCTAGATTCGAAAGTGTCATATTATGTTTCCGAGTTGATCTGCGAGAAACAATCAGAAGTTTCGTTTAGCCAGTTATGAAGCGAAATTATGTCGATTGTATTTGCATGTTATAAATTATGTTTTTTCAGATGCAGTTGGACTTAAGAGTCCTGGTCTAGTTGAATCCTACCGCGAAAAAGTGTACGGCTGTTTGGAAGAATATTGTAAACAGAGGTCTCCGAGTGAATCAGGGAGATTTGCCAAACTAATGCTCCGCCTGCCTTCAATTAGATCCATCGGACTTGCGTTTTTTGATTCAAACTTTTTTATTCCGCCGATACCGCCAGTCAGCCATGTGGTACATGAGCTAAACAATTCGTCGACGATGACTCGGTACGCCCCACTGAGGCTGTGCTAAGGAAACTTGGTCGTCCGTCCACAACGTCTCCACGGCGCAAGTGACCGATGGCTAATGCTTCAAATAAATCAGGGCACAGACTGCAAGGCCGATTCGCTACCTAATCTCCTGTTTTGATCTCTAGGCACTGGTGCAATGATTAGGCGGAATCTTTTTCATCCGCTTGTTGAATTTTGCAAACTGTTGCCTGTGCAACCTTTTGTTTATTGTTTGGTTTTGCCTCACGTCTGATTTTCCGGCCAACGTAACAGTAAACTATGCTGTTTGTTAATTGTTCATTTTAAAAACGCTACATTGGCTTCTATGACATATTGACAACAACAATAAACAGGTTTGCTTTGCAAATCAAGCTGCAAATAAGTTACTGGCATACTCTGCTAAAGGATAGATATCTACAAAGGAGAAACGAAATTCATCAAAATCAAAAATATAACAGAACAGTTGATATAACAGCGATTATCATGAAGCAGACAGGAAAGTACTTAAAGTTTGCCTATGTGAAATTCAGGCATGTCAGAAGCGACAAACGTGTAAGGAAAACTCGCAATTGATCGCCTCTCGAGTATCCCTCATGCTGCAGATTTCTATTAGAGCCGTGTCTGTTTAGATCATCATTTCAAGCCATTTGCATGTGCAGAACATGTTTGCTTTATGATTCTCTTTGTGATTGCAGCTTTTCAACACCTTTGCTAAAAATCACCGGTTGCTGCATCATATAAGAAAATATTAATATTCCTTTCTAAAAACGGATCGGTCCTGAACTTGCTCAATCGTGTTACATGCTGGTCATAAAGGGCTATTCTACAGTCTTATGGTTGGCTGTGTTTCGGCTCCCAGGTGAGAAATTCATGGCCTAGGGTAAATGGCTAATGCTCAATCTGTCTGTCTTACAAGACCAACTTCCTCTGGAAATCTCCACATCCACTGAGTTCATCTATTTCAGGAAGAGGATAGAGTCATACTTCACTGTGGTCCTGCCATTTAACCCTCATTATACGTCGACGCCAGCGCTGCTGTATCCAGTACAACCGTCGTTATAACAGCTATCTCAGTGCCATACTGCATTATGGACCTGGCCGAACAATATACTAGCACAGTTGTGTGGAAAGGGTTATTAATTGCTCGGTAAAAATAATGGGCGTGTTATCGAATGCAGTGGAAGATAGGGCGTCCTAATATTTAACTCTAGTTGGATGGTAAAGACAATGGAGATGTAGCCGAGATAAAAAATGGCTCTCTCTCCTGAATAGCTTCACCTCCTCGTTCCACTTATAAATAGCTGTGTCTGATGACCTTATAACTTTTAATAACAGGTTACTTCCCGGCGCTAATGCAGCTGCATCGCTTGCGGAACTCCTCATGTGACCGAGCCCACTCGCTGCACAATTCGCTAGGAAAATATCTGCACACTCGGGGATATGTTTTGTACTGCGCCTTCACTCTCGAATGAGATTTTTGTCATTGACAAGGTGAGTACTGTTTCAAAGAGAACGTTATTAACAGTGCTGAATATCAAAGATGAAAGCTCATTTTGGCAAACTCCATGGTTAATAGGTAACCACTCAGGTTGCTCTCTAACTCTGACAACATATATCGCTCCTACATACGTCTCTTCGAGGTATTCCATAAGATTTCAAGATCCTTCACGTCACTGGACGAAATACTGAATCAAATGCAGCCTTAAACTCGAAGAAACCTCAATCCAACGCATATGCAATTCTCGACATTACTCAGTGATTCTACGCAGAGGGAAAATTTGGTCAGAGAATGAACATTGCATCCTGAAGCCTTCTTGATTGAAGCGAAGTCTCCGATCAATTGGCTGTCTCAGTTTTTTCATAATTATCTGCTATGAAAGTTTCACGACTGTTGATAGTAGTGCTATTGCACTAAAATGACTGCACCCTTTTGCCCAAACCCTCTAAATATAGAAAATTACTTCACGATTCCATTCTTCAAGGAAATTTTTCATGCTTTATGATAGAGGCACTGAGCTTTTTCGTCACTATCGTTCCTCAATTTTTGATTGACTCATGAAGAATTCGATCCATTCAGCAGATGTTCTTCACTTTGAGGTGACGCATGCCTCCCCAACCTCTCCAAATTTTTAATTATGTTAGTGAAACTTAACTAAAATTATGCGTTAGCAGAGAGCTAACTGTCGGAAATGACATATCCCAAGGATAACTGTGGATTAGTTGCTTTATTGAAATTTCTGATTTCACCCTCCAGCCAATGTTTGCAGACCCGTCTGTAGCTTTGTCTCACTGCACAAACAAGACAGCAACATTCATCGTTCGAGGGCGGAGTAGGATGTTTCAAGCTTTCCCTTTTTGTTTGGTTCCTTTGCATTCTAAAGGTTACGGCTTTTTCCGCAACCCAGCCAAGTTTGGCCCTTCTCTTGGCTCCAACTACGTTTTTCGTCCAGAATGACGCT